GTTTGTACTGGCACCTGAAGTGCTAAGACTTGGACAACCAGCTCAAGCCAGAGTTGACCTATATATGAATCCTGATGAATTTTATAACTGATAACCCTTGTGCTAATAGGTATTATACTAAGTTATAACAAACCACCTATTCTGCTGTAAGAAGTGGAAGTACTGAAGCCTGAGCAACATGCCCTGAGCCAAAGCTGCTAACTCAGTATGTAGTCATTAGTGAAATATGTATGCTCATTAATGGAAGATGTAGCTTAAACACCATTTTAAAACATGTCTATCTGAATACATCTTTATCTTTCTTGTGTGGGGGCAAGACAACAGGGCCATAGAGACAGTTGTCTGGCCTTGTGATGTGATGTGTGATCTTGCTCATAAATCAATTATTAAGCAAGGAAACTCGCTTAGTGTCTCCCTTGAGCCCTGGCCAGGGTCTGGGGGAATCTAATGTGAGATTGAAACCACATGTCTCTGCTTAAAACAAAGGTGCCAGATATTCTGACTTACTGATTTTTGGGTATATAACACTGGACCCACTCACAGCAACTTTGGCAGCCTCACCTACGGGTGGACGCACTGCGTAGGATTTCCCACTTGCCAGGACAGGCTCTCCAAACCCTCGCTGTAACTGACTGTGGGTTGGATGATGGTACAGTATGCAGGTGGTGATGGATCTTTCTTAATCACTATTCTCTCTCTCATGGAGAAATGATTTGATGCATTAAACAAATCGGAAAATACAGGGTAAGTGCACTATTCTGTCTTTTCTTACTGATGTTTTCTGTATTGCTCTATTATTTAGTTATCCCCAGTAAAATACGCCTGCTCTTTTCACTCTGGTGTCTGAGTTTAACTGTTATCCTTAATCAGCAAAACAGCACCCACTCTCAATCTCATCTCACAGGAAGCCAGACCAAAGAGCTACAGTGAGTCATGTATTTTAAAGGGAAAACAAAGTCTTTTTTTTTGTTTGTTTGTTTCTTCACAAAAAAGGTCTCCAAAGTGAAACAAACACTAACCGAGCACAAGGTCCTGGCACAGATTTATAAATCTGGTTGCTTCACTCTTAATTATCTACTGAAAACACTGTTTGCAGAGTTACAGTCCTACATGTTAAGCTCCCAATTTAACACAATCAGAATTGTATTTTTTAAACCACCATAAACTTTTTTTTAAAAAAACCCTTAATTAATAATCAAGGAAACAAATGTCTATCACCAATAAATTAGTCTTAAAGACGGCCTCTGAAATCAACTTTGTTCAGGTATCCCAATGACACCAGAAGCTGTTATAAAAAATTCTTTCACTGTTCAGCAATTACTGTGCTGAATTGAGCTAGTCAGGTCTGTCATTTCCTTAAGACATCTGTCAACTGTACAAGTAAACTACAAGGCCTGACATCTAGAGAAGTGCTGGGGTGCTCCCTTTATTTTTCAGAAAGAAATACACCAAAGATGACATAGATAGACACAAGTCACACTGAACATATTACAACTGTTACAGGTCAAAGTCTCATAACACCATTCTTCCTATGTACATCTCTTTCCTTAAACAGCAGCTAATCCCACTTGAAGAACAGAACACACTGATCACAAGAGCTTCTGAGTACATGCACTGGCAAAGATCCATTACTTTTTCCTCTGTTAACAGTCAGCTCTTCATTTTTTTGAGTGTTCTTCAGCTTCAAACCAGAATAATACTTTTTGCTGATGTATTATAAAAAAAGCACACTAAGAGTTTACCTAGGGAAGTGGCAAGTATATTTGATATATTTCTAAACAAGCTCACCTTAAGTCTGTTACTTTTCAAGAGTTGTTTTTTTTTTTTTAAACACTTGTGCCCTGATTTCAAGACTAGCATTCTTTATTATCTTACCCAAGTTTATTTTGTAGAAAACTTAACAATTGCTAGTCAATTGCTATGCCAGGCAGCAGTCACCATGGTGAAGCCAGGAAGCCTGTACCTGGAACAGTGGAGGTGAACAGCACTGAAGTGAGCTCTTCTGTACCAATCTCAGGAAGGATTCTGAACAGTTAATACTCAGGTCACATTGACACGTAGTCAAATGCTCTTCTTTACATTCTGAGGCCTCCAAGAGGCAAGCTGAAATGGAATGAAAGAGAATAGCACAGGTTTGTTTATATTATGTGTCTAATCAGACAAGGCTTGGTCTCTGGCAAACTCCTGATACTGCACTTTAAATTGCATAAAGACAGTATCTTAAGAAACAGAGGCAGTAATTCTACTACATAAAAACTTCACCCAAGGGAAGCAAATCAGAAGTGATCTGGATGACTGTGCAACGACTGCAACTATGTCAGTGCATTTAGAACCAGCCACTTTTTACACACTTTATAAATCACTTCTAAAATCAGGCACATATTCCAGAGTTCAAAGCCAACTTTCCACTAAAGGACTTCTCAACACACTCTTATTTAAAGGAGAAACAACACAAGTCCACTAGGATAGAGAATGGCCAATTTACAGGATAGATTGTCAATTTTTGTTTCAAATATGGTCTCTCTCATTGGAGGTAGTAGTTTTCAGTGGTGATAACTTGTAAAATAAAATGGATAAGTTAATTATTACCAGCTAACCAATTTAATGACTGTGAACAAGCTACCTTTTGATGTTTAAGAATCCCTGAAAAACTCTCTCAGAGCATTAATACATGTAGGCATTACCAGATCCCCATCTAGTCACAGCTAGTTATCACAGCCTGCAAAATCCAGGCCTGCTTTTATGTGGAGCATGTTAAAACAAGATCAGGTTCAGAGATAAAGAAACACACACACACTAATGCACACAAGTCTTTACTCCAGAAAGCCAACCGCAGCAGCAGCTTAAATTTTAGTTTATGAGCAAAGTATCTTTGCTCACTGTAGTGTTACATTATTTCAACTCCACCATTGTGTTTGTTATATTTAGACTGAGCAGAAATGAGCATTGAAGCTTTTGTCATCACAACAGGATTTAACTAGTTTTTTTCCAGCTTACCATCCACCAGCTACCATAACTAGAACAAAAGTACTGATAGAAACACAGTCATTAGGGACAAAGTTCACAGTGCCACAGAAGTGCTGCATCAAGCACAATATGCCTCTTCTGACATCCTAAGGGTATTTAATTATTTAATTACCAGCTCTTTCCTTTTCTTTACTTTCCTCAGGTTTGAGGCCCTACTGACAAAAAAATTAAAGGGTACAACCGCACATGGAGTTCACCAGCAACCAACTTAATGGGGAAGTTCACAAAAACTGAGCAAATGCTTTGTGAAAAACTTAAATGTTGTCAAATAAAAACTAAAATTATTTTTGCTCAGCATGACAACATATTATCTAACCCAAAACTGCAGTGACTGCTGCCACTGCAAATTTACAAGGTGAATCAGGGGTTGAAGATAAAAGTTACAGAAGTTTTCAGACACATAAAGAAAAGTTTACATGGTACACTGCAAAAAAATAAACTGCCTCACTTAAAGAGCTACATTTTGTTAGTTCAACACAAATTCTTCAGAAGAACAGGTGTATCAACAGTGTTATGGTATTATCACCAACACCAGCCAAGCAACTCTACCCTAACATCATCTTCCATTCATTTGCAGTAATTTGTTACTGCTCTTCTGAACAGAAAATACTATCATTCACATCACACAGAAAAGAATCATCTGACAACAATTACTGATTTTCAGCAGTGCTCCAACACATCAGTGGTATCAGCAGCAGCCAGGCCCACAGCTGAAGAATTCACTTGCTCAGCTGAACAAACACATCCCTCACACACTGCCCTCAGTGCCATCATCATTAGTTGCATCAGCATTTATTACTCAGCATCAGAAAATGAGTAATGAGAATATGATTATTACATTAGGGCTGAAAAACCATTCCTCAGTGGAAACCTGTGTTCCCTCAATACCCTCATCTTCTCTGATTTGCATTATTAATAACCAGGTATTCATATTAGATAACCTCATGCTAACAGCATCCAGCGCTGGCAGTGTACTGGGTCCTTTTCTGTGCTCTACTAATTTTTTCAGAATGCACTATTAATCAGTTCTCTGTCACAATAGCTTATATTTAAATACAGACTGAGAACGTTTCCCAGTTTATCCTGAAGCATGTCTTCAAACATTTAATGCCTTTAAGTGTATGGTGTAAGCATGTCCATTATACTCTGCACTCTACTATTAGTGAATATCTCTAAACTTCCAGGGGCAATTAATCTACCCAAGCAGTCTAACATGCAGTATGCAGCATGAGCTGCTGTAAAGTTCTACACGGTGTGCCAATAGCAAACTGCAGGCTAAAAAACGTCAAGGGTTTGGTTTTGTTTCATTAACCATCTTCCATTTCCAAAGAGCGCATTCGCTGATGAGAGTGTAAAACCCTTACTGCACTAAGTTTCTCTGACTAATCACCCTATTATCAGTCCTGAAGCACACAAGACCTTCTCCAGGCCTGGAATAAGCTCCAGAGCGGAACGCCTGCTTAGGACCCTTTCCTCAATCGAGACAGGCATCGGTGCCAGGGCAGGTAAGGCAAAGGCAGCTGGCGCCGACACAAGAGCTGACCGCGGCAAGGGCAGCGCTAAGGCGAGGCCGTGACGCTGGGGTCGGGGGGCAGGCACACAGGCGGGTCGGAGCCGCGCCG